ATCCCCAGTGTGTCCATTGTTGCTTTTGAAACATAAAACAGGACGAGGAAGCAATAATTCTCAAAATGTTTATTGCTCAATTGTTCTCCAGTCAGCCAGCTTATGTGGTTGTTTTCTTACAGTAGGACCTGAAGTGCACCAACACAAAAAAAAAATGCATTAACGGACTGCCTGGGTAAACTGGCAACAATATGATCGCTTGAAGGCCGTCTCTTCCAGTAGCATCAGAGCAGAGTCCCTCAAGTTGCATGACGTAGCAAATGCGCGCCCAATTTTGGGACCCTGCAATGGGAACAAAGAAATATTCCTACCACATCGGTTGAATCTGTCCCTTGGAAAGCTTAGGAGGATGTTTGTCAGATGATTGAAGATCGGGGAAATTTTGGAAAAGGCACATGGATTGCACATCAGAGAGAACGTAGCTCTCCACGGATCTCAGAGCCTTCTGGATTGCTTGGACCACCATAGTAATTGTGGTGAGCCCTGCAAGAAACGACTGGCAAGCCAGTAGCGGGGATGGTGGGTGTGGTGGTGTAGAAAGGCACAGACCCATTTGCCAATGCTGGCGAAGCTCAGCAACATCCTTCGCTCTGCCAGAATCTGGATCAGCAATGTCCCGCACATCTTCGTGAAGACAGGGGACTGACCCCGGAGAACCCACTGTTGCAGAGAAAATATTGTCGGAGATCAACTTTCCACTTCAGAATGAGTATGAGAGAGCCAACATGGGCTTAAAGGACGTAGCTTCGTCAAGAGAAGGTTCCCAACCAAGGCCTCGAGATGCTTGACGTTGAGGTACTGTCCCCGAAGGTAGTGCAGGTGTCCAGGTAGGTCACAGCGAGCATGTGGCGGCGCAGGTTTCATTTTACTTTGGAGACAATTATGAATCTGAGCGACCCCTAACATTGCTTCTTTTGCATGTGCACTATGCGCAGGTTGGCCTGCTCACTTGAAAATAGGCGCAAGTTCAGAAACGGAAGCAAGAGATGGCTATGCCTATCCATAAGGCTGTCGCTCCAACTCTGGCGCAGCAGACCTGGGCCGAAGCAGGACTGAGCTTAGTGAGGAGGCCTAATGCAGAAGACCCAGTGGCCTAATGGATGAGGCATTGCTTGAGTTTCAGGAGTGACATTGCACTCAGCAAAGCATGGTGGGCCTCCTTGACTGATGTACAACGGCAAAAGCTCCTTGTCCCTCAAGAGCCAGGATCAATGCCTTTCCCAAGAATTTTTTGCTCACACCTTGAAAGAAGTCTTGACGAGAAAGTCTTGAAGGCGCAATGGCTTTGGCGCACGAAGTTCGATTGCGTATTGAGCAGAAGCGCATTGGAATGCTTGTATTTCAGTCAAACAAAAAACCAGGGCCGGATCACAGAGCGGCACGAGACATGGCGAAAAGGGAAGAAAGCCACGAGACGACGATGGCGAGGACGGAGAGGATGGGGACGAACGCGGGGAAGAAGACGAGGAGTTCAGGGAACGCAATATTCTAGAGACCATCACGCGGGACCTTTCTGCAAGCTGAGC